ATGTATGTAGGGAAAAGATCTCTTACCGTACACTTTGATGACAATATTTCCTTCTGAACTGAAACACAGTTCGGACAACTTTCTCCACCAGCTTAAATGGCTGTTCTATTTTTGGTTGCACCAACGGGGTAAAATGAATGACAGTCACATCCACCTGTGAACAGAAATAAAAACAATGGATCTAAGAAAGTATATGAGTCTAATGAAAAGTTACAGTACAAATAATAAACATTTGAAAAAGTTGTTAGCGCAATTAAACTGCCAAATAACAAGACAAAATGGTTATCATTCTGAAAAATTCAAGTCGGGTGCCCACCCTAGTTCCTGTAAAGGTACCCCTGCCCGTACGGGCCAGTCTTGACAGACTCTAGGGTTGTGCGCCCATCTCACTCAAGAGGCCGGGGGCCAGCGCTGTCCGGAGACACTTCCGGGTCATGTGGCCAGCGTGACATTGCTGCTCTGGTGAGCCAGAGCCGCACACGGAAACGCCGTTTACCTTCCCGCTAGTAAGCGGTCCCTATTTATCTACTTGCACCCGGGAGTGCTTTCGAACTGCTAGGTTGGCAGGCGCTGGGACCGAACAACGGGAGCGCACCCCGCCGCGGGGATTCGAACTGGCGACCTTTCGATCGGCAAGCCCTAGGCGCTGAGGCTTTTACCCACAGCGCCACCCGCGTCCCTTAAAAGTTCCTGTAGCAGGATGCAAATTACGATGTCAGGTAATTAGAAAGACACAATTAAGAGCTGCTGCTGAATGTACAGAATATCCTGTTGGCTATTTTGATTCCTTCTATAAGGGCTCTACACTGCAGTTTGGATTAAAAGTCCTGTAAGGAAAAACCTGGAATAATTGCATTTACCTTGAACAAATCTACCCCAAATTCACATCAACATAGAAACTAGTAATTGCCAAATTCATCCTCCTACTACAATAGTCGTGGATGATGGGAGTTGTATTCCAGCAACTTCTGCAGAGTGTCACCTTGGCTACCCCTGTCCTATTTTCATATATGGTGACTGCTCATGGATAAGCATTCTTAGGAAACTCACACCGGTCCCCTTTCACAGGTAAAGCAAAATGTTTATGAGCACTTTTACCCCCAAACTACACTTTGTGAGGGAGCCTTGTAAGATCAGTCCTGAAAGACTGTACAGTTTCTAACTGTGTGTGTACTGCTTTGGAAGATTCTACGGTACCAAAACAAAGTTTTTGACTCGGAACCAAAACAAACAATGACTTGTGTGAATAATTGTGTAATCAATAGCAGAGTATGTCTTGCAATGCAGTACCACAAATGATTCATTGGTTATGTTGCAGTAGGTGAAAGCCCATGAATAAGGACAATATAGGAGATAGCAGTTAAGAATTCTACTGGCTTTCAAAAGGAGCTTGTGCTAAATTATTGCATGAGAAGAAGAACTCTGGATTTGGAGGTTCTTGTCCCCACACAGCCCTCTTCCACTAGGTTAGAAACAGTCATTCCATGAGCAAAGGACTTCCTACTTGCAGAAGTGAAATCCCATATAAATAAATATTTTGGATAATATGATACAGGTTAGGTTCCAATGGAAACTAAGATATACAGAAATAAAGCACATTAGAATGTTTTCTTTCTATGGAAATACAAAGCAATTCTCATTACTTCATTATAGGCTTGGGCTCTTAGAATACTAGGAAAGCTGCTTTGTTACTATGGGAACGGTTATAGAAAATGCTGTTTGGATTGGATGCTTTGAAATTACTAACATCATATCCTATTTCTTCGTTGTGCATACTAGCAGGCTGAATTTCAAAATCTAACAAGGTACACACAAGCATATTTTAAAACTGCTGATAATCATACGACCTTCACCTTATTTTGCAAATGTTTTTTGTAAAACATAAAATTACAGCTAAGATGAAATACTAGCTCATCTCACTGAGGGGGACCTACACCCCAGCCCCCAAACAATTCTGTCACTTCTGTTGCCAAAGCTTGTTTTGTTTTGCAAACACAAGCCTGGATTTTGTCCAGGGTGAAATCTACATACATATAAAAAGTGTTCTGGAAATGCATTTTAAGAAAACGTTTGTAAAAATACAGTGAATTTTCCATAAGGCTCATCATCACCATTTAGTGTCACACTGTGTATTGCACTTAAAACACACTTAAAACATTTTATTTGCAGCTGTATACCTAAGTCCCAGTGCATTAAGAAAAAGGACTTCTGGATAAACAGATTGCCTTTTTGAATCCTTTTCTCAAACAACATGCAGCTATATACAGCGATAATGTAATAAAGAATGTAATAAACAAACATCTTAAAACTATATTATGTTAACTCCCTAGTTTTGCTCCTCCAACTTTCCCATCCTTAGCTGCTGCCTCCGAGTGTCCTGCTCTTTTAAACTCCAGCCAGTCTACCTTGTTGCCCCTTCTATTGGAATTGTCTGCCCAAACAGAAACATCTACATTTATTTATTGGTTTTTTTATTTTTAGTAAATGCACAATGCAAACTCGTAAAATGGCACCACCAATCTATATTATTCAGTCTACATTCTTTCCCACCTTTCAAGCAAAACTGAAGCCTGCGTTTTTGTCAAGGATAAGGATAAGGATATGCACACAGGTATGTTTCATTACCCTTGTTTCTCCTATATGTCTCTTGCAATTTAGAAAGTTTTATATTACAGTATAGACTTTTCAGAGCAGATACCTGCTTCATTTTTTATGGAAAATTCTGTAAATGCCATACAAGGTCAGTGCTAAAACTATACAGCCTTGGCCCAGTGTATCTGAAGGAGCATCTCCACCCCCATTGTTCAGCCCGGACACTGAGGTCCAGCGCCGAGGGCCTTCTGGTGGTTCCCTCATTGCGAGAAGTGAGGTTACAGGGAACCAGGCAGAGGGCCTTCTCAGTAGTGATGCCTGTCCTGTGGAACACCCTCTCACCAGATGTCAAAGGAAAAACAACTACCAGACTTTTAGGAGACATCTGAAGACAGCCCTGTTTAGGGAAGCTTTTAATATATGAAGGACTATTGTATTTTAATATTTTGTTGGAAGCCACCCAGAGTGGCTGGGGAAACCCAGCCAGATGGGCGGGGTCTAAATAATAAATAATAATAATAATAATTTAAATAGGTCAGTTAAAAAAAACTACCACACTAGCCTTTAGCTACAAGAACTCCTCTGCGCTCCTTAGAAGAAAAGTGGGATATAAATGTAGTAATAATAAAACTAAACAAAAGTTGGAGATTTCTGTCAACTTAGCCCTCTCCTAGGCTAAGCAGCGTCACCATGGCTGGAAAAAAACTATGGAAAAAGAATACACAATGTCTTGTAGGCGCATTTTACCTGAGCCTGAGAAATAACATGTACCTACCATTTGCTCAGGATTAGTTCCCATGGATTTCAATGATATTTACTTGCTATTAAGCACGGCTAGAAATGCAGCTTAAACTAGTCTACAATTCACTATCTATATAAACCAGGATTGCTCATTAAAGAAATGCAATAAAACCCATTTATACAAAAGTCTGTCTGCTATTGAAGCTTAAGTACTTATTGCAACTTCACAAAATGAGTAAGGAAAAACAGCCAATGTAGTGCAGTGCCACATGCTGTTCTGGGGGTTCTCCTAACCTACCCAAGCAGATTGGGGGGTGGACTTGTATTGCACTAGTGGGATTCATTGCACTGATTTCCACTACCACAACAACTCTTGAATCTCCCACCTGCAGAGTTTCAAAAACTGCTGGCCCATCATGGCCCTGGATACGTCTACCTAATAACCTGACCAGGGGAATAAAAAGAGAAATAATTATGATTTACCATCCCATCCCCTTGCTGCTTTATAGACATTCCTTTATTTGCAGAAAGGATGGAGTGTCTGTGGCCCTCCAGATCTGGTGGACCCCAACTTCCATTAGCATAGCCAATGGTCAGGGGTGGTGGGAGTTGTAGTCCAGCAGCATCTTGTGGGTCAGTTTCCCCAATTGAAAGGAATACTAGTCTAGCAACTTCATAAATGAGTTACAACCACATGTACTTTTGCTGTGCATTTCCATTGTCAGCCATGGGGTCCACTGAGTAAGCCATCCATGTCAATGCTTTAAACAAATTTAATGCCATTAAGTCAAATACATGTGCAGCCCAATGCTATGAATGTTTACTCAGGTGTAAGTCCCACCGAGTTCAATTAGACTTACGCCCAATGAAGTGTTTTAATAGAATTGTAGTCCTCTCCAGACATGAAAAGCTTCCAAGTGTTTTCAAAGCGCATGAGACCACAGAAACAAACCCCTATCCTTATACTGGGCTGGAGAAGGGAAGGGGTTTATCCTGTTGCTGCAATAAGCTTCACTCCCAAGCAGCTTCACTCCCAAAGCTCAATCAGAGACCCTGTCGCAGCCCAGGGTCAACCATTACTAAGCCCAGACACAATCACCAGAGGCTGTAGAAATCAAATGTGAAACTGCATTACTGTGGTATAGATCAGCCTTAAAAACTCAACATTAAAACTGTTCTGAGAGGAAAACGTAGAACCCCAGTTACTTCCAAGACTAACGAAGCAAGGGATAAAATTATGTAGCTGTCAACTATCACATGCTACAAACCACTGCCTTTTCCTTTTCTACACACTGAGAAGAGTCAGACGACAATAGGGAGAACTCATATTTATCTTGCTGCACAATCAGCAGGTTTCCCTCCCCACTTTCTTTGCTTTATAGTCTCCCTCTTGCTGACTTGTCAGGATCTCCTCAACAGTGCTCTGTATTTAATCACAAAGCCTCATCAGCATTACTACTTTATTTTGCCTTCTGGTCTTTAGGGAAAGGTGACTAATTACAGAAAGAACTAGAGAAGGCTACAAGCTACTAGTAGCAGGTATGTAAAACTCAGCCATATACCTTTGTCACTTTAAATATATTTCTGCACCATAATTAATAGCAGGAATTATAAACTTATTGTGGAGGATTTGGGGTAGTGGTGGCTGTTTGCAATGTAAATTCTGATTTGCAGGTGCAGTAAAGGTCACTCTGAAGTTTCATTTCCTTATAATTAAAGCAGCTTTTTAAATATAGGGTTTATGTTTTTTGAAATACATATTGCTCTATATTTCTCCTGATTTCTAAACTACTGTCAAACATTCACCATAGGATCTAGAAATCATTTTATTTTTAGAATTAAGGGTTTGCATGTGTTTCCTCCATGATAGCTTTGCATGTGCTCCTTCAACAAAGTACCCCCCCCCTTTCAGTGCAGATTCATTAAACAAAGTAGTTCTTTATTCTCCAGTAGATGGTACTAAGACAGGGAATGGGCAGGACTGCTGTGGTCATAGCATCAGAGAGCTATTTTTGTTTAATAAAAAAAACCCAATGCATTTTTTTAATGAAGAGAGATCTTTACATTCAAGAGAAGTTGTTTCTACGACTTATACTGCCGAGAAAGCATCCTGAATCTCCCATTTAGCAGTAAGTACTGAACTTCATTAGACTCTGTACATTACAGTTTATGGTGTTTAAAAATGTTCTAACCAAACATTGCAGTTTAATGTGCGTGTAATTTAGTCTGCTTCTAGCAGTTATTGGGATAAGCTACCATTCCTATTGTCATCAAGCTTGTTTTAATTTTTAAAGCTGCTGAAATGCAAAATCTGAAGCAAAGATAAATAGTAAAAGAATGATGGGTAGACAGTGCCACGCAGGGATGGCTCCATTTCCCACCCTTGCAGCCTATGAAATGGATGTGGAGTAAACAGGGGCACCTGCTCTGTGGCAGATCCGCGGGTTGGTTGGTAGCCTGCTGGTCCCACAGAAATATAGACCTAGTTAACAAGTCAATCTCTTTAAAGAGCTGCTTGGCTCAGCAAAAGATGCAGCAAACTTTCAAGCTATATAAAACTATATTGTGGAAAATTGAGGCTATGAGAGGGCAGAAAGGCTCTTGCATAACTGTTAGGTTGGACTATTTTAGAAGCAGATATATCTGTAAGCTGCCTTGCGTCCTGGTCTAAGAGAAAGGTGGCATAGAAATAAATGAATAATAATAATAATAATAATAATAATAATAAATAATAATAAAAATATAAAAACCAGGACAGCTCTCCTGACCAACTTCTCTTACTAATTTCTCTTACTGAGAAATTAATAAAGCAAAATTTCCTGAAGTTGTCAGAACCAACCAAGATTTTCTGCCATGGCAGCAGTTCCATAAACTGATCACTAACTGGGTGTCACACTTTTCAAAGACTACCAGAAGGGCAGGAAAGAATGTGTATCTCTGCACTGGTGGCAAATGGGGCAGATAACTAGATACAGTTTCTCTGCTGAAAGGGGGAGAGAGGGCATGGAAACAGAAAATTGTTCTGAGTAGCCCAGGTGATATTTGCTCCCCTTGGTCCATGACACAATCAAAAATGCCAAGAGAACTTCACACCTGCCAGAAATTTCTTTTAATGTACCTTTTGAAAAAAGAAGTTAAATTTTGGATCATAGGGGACAGACAGTGACTCCCTTCCCTACACAAGTTGCAGTATAATGTGTGTGGTGGATAGTGAAAAGGGTACTTTGGCTCATACAACAGAAGAGATGGCAATTAGGGTTTGTGGGGAAATGAGCAAGATTTGTTTAGAAAGCTTATTAAAGTGCTTCTTTAACTATAAAATCATTATCCAGAAAATAAAATACCTATTAAAGGACAGACAACATCAATTATATAAAATATATGCATAAATCTAATCTAGTTTCTTTCTCTGGTCCAAGTAAAAGTTAAAATCAGCAGATGTCAGTCATAACAGATATCATACAAATGCCCCCCCCCAAAAAAAACAAGGTGGGCAGACCCTTGTTCTAAGCATAAGTGCACGCAATGCAGTATTTACAGAAAAGGTCAAAAGTTCCTTTTTCTTAAATCACTCTAATCTTCAAAATATCTACCTAAGCAGGTTTAAAAAAAGGCTGTTTCAGCATAATGATGTTTTCATGTTTTTAAGATGTTGGCAGCACATTTTAGATTCCAAGTCTTGTTATATACATGAGAAATGTACAAGCTGAAGAATCCATTAATTACTGGATTCTGAATATGCCCAGGCTTGTATGCCAATTACATGCTGCTTTACACAAGAGATGTTAGCTCATCTACCATTCAGTATAAGCCCGGCCTTTCAAATTCAAATACATGTATTTTTTTAAAAAAACCTAATCACACCAAGTCCTACTGTTACAGAAGTACCTCGCAAGACGAATGCCTCGCAAGACAAAAAACTCGCTAGACGAAAGGGTTTTTTGTTTTTTGAGCTGCTTCGCAAGACGATTTTCCCTATGGGCTTGCTTTGCAAGACAGAAACGTCTTGCAAGTTTGTTTCCTTTTTCTTAACACCGTTAATACAGTTGCGACTTGACTTCGAGGAGCAACTCACAGAACGCGGTGTGGTAGCCTTTTTTGAGGTTTTTAAAGACTTTGGTGATTTTTGAAGCTTTTCCAAAACTTTCCCGACACCGTGCTTCGCAAGACGAAAAAAATCGCAAGACGACAAAACTCACGGAACGAATTAATTTCGTCTTGCGAGGCACCACTGTACTTCTATTATACAGGTTGGTTCCAAAGAGTACACACATATGCACTGAGTTAGACTACTGGCCCATGTAGGCCAGCATTGAACCCAAATGGTTTAAGAGGTCCATGTCCATTTCAATGTGGCAGGAGATGGGATGTTTGCAGGTGGAGAGGACCTAAATATAACACCTAGAGCAAAAATGTATTGGACTTCCCCAAGCCTTTCTGCTTAGACCTTCAAGTGGTTCACTGGTAAAATCCTACCAAAATTAACGGACCTGCAATTTTATCCACCCTGTTACTAAGTGATACCACCCAACTTAAGTCACTGGCACTATTTAAAAGCTAAGAATGCCAGTAAGTGGTCTTATGAACAGCTAAATTAATTAGATGAGCTTGCATTCAATACTTTAGGATTAATAGTATAAAACTAATGACCTTTCTCTATAGTTAGAATGCTCAAACCTCCTCTCCTTCTAAATCCAAATCATTTGAATTGGAATTAAAAGTAATTATAACATTATTATTCTATAATTTTAATTATCATGGCTCTTTGTCCAACAAAATATATTAAACCCAGAGCTATATAAGAGTTTTCCATGTACCAGGCATCATTTAGACTGCAAGGAAATGATCCAGCTAATATTAAGCACATTTAAGTGTCACTGATTTCAATGGCAGCATTGATTTCAGAGTTAACATGCAACTGACCCTGCCATTTAAAGCCAACAAAATTTAAATGTACTTAAATTTAGCTGAATCATTCTTTCAGTCTTTAGCAATAGCTTTATTTACTCTTAGTTATTGTGCTATATCAGAGGTGGTTAGTTTGAATCAAGGGATAGGGTAATTTTAAGTTTCTAGACCAAGGGTTGGCAACGTGAAGCCAACAAAGACCGTTTTACTGGCCCACGAGCCGCCTGCTTGGCAAGTCCCCCGCGTGCTGTGCTAAACCAGTGCAGCGCGGCGCCGGAAATGGCATCTGTGCACGTGCAGATACCAGAAATCACTTCTGTGCATGGCCAGACACTGAAAATCGCTGCTGCGCAGGCGCGATTTTTAGCATCTGGGCATGCACAGAAGCAATTTCTGGCGCCGCGGACATGCGCAGACTCAATTTCCGGCATTGCACTGCGCCAGTCCAGCCCACGGACGATCTCTGTGGGAGTGATCTGGCCCATGGCCAGTAAATCTTGCCAACCCATGTTCTAGTCCTTAAGAATTTCAAGTTCTATATGGCCAACACAGAAGTTTGAGCTTTGCTCTTCAGAAAATAGTAAGGAAACAACAACTTGGGACCAGTTTACCTGAAAGATTGCCTTAATTCATATATGTCTACTCAAACACTTTGATATGAAGAACTGGCACTGTTACAGGGGCCACATAATACCTATTCTGCATTCGTAAAAAATCTTTTAGTGCTGCAGCACCCACGCTTTGGAACCCCCTGCCTATTGACATCAGACAGGGGCCTTTCACTGCTATAATCATTTTTGTTTAGAAAAGCCTACTCTGATGGGTAGAAAAAACGTTGATGTGTGTTTTAATCTGTTTTTAGTTTACCACTGATTTATTTTAAAAAATAAAAAATAATTGTTTTATTTTAAAAAATAAAAAATAATTGTTTTAGCTGCTTTTATTGATCATTTTATTCTTTTTGTAAACTACTGCTGAGGTTCATTTTTTAGAAAAACAATGAAGCAGTGTACAGATTTTATGAGATAAATATATAAATAAAAGAGCACTTGCTGAACCATTAAAAACCATGTAAATGGGGAAAAGATTATACTGACCTAAATTTCCAAGGATTAAAATTTCCTATGGAAACTGGGAAGAAAGTATATACTTCCAAGCCATTGCTTTAGTTAACTGTAGATTTGAATAGATACCTTCTTCTACTTTTGTGCCACCGAAGCGAGATGGCCACTGAGGGCAAGAATAGCTCAATTTTGTATTTCTGTGTTTTTTGGCATTTACATGATCCTAGTCTTGTGCCTTCAATTTGAGTTTTCTTGAAGTGGCAGAATATTGAAGGGTAGTTCCTTGTGCTCAGTCGCTCACACACTGTTCATTTATAATCATTTCTGTTCAAGTGCCCTGTGTACAGCTGCTCTGTGCTTTTGTAGCCTTCTCATCTGCTGCAGGGTCACGTTCAGTCATTCATTCAGATAGCAGTGATTTTAAATGCAAGTGTTCTAGTTTGCTCATTTCTCTTTCCTTTGCCCCTGCCACTTCCCCCCTTCCTCCCCCTTCTATCACATGCGGACAGCTATAGCCGTGGCTGGGGAGCCATCAGGCATACAAAGGTTTACAACAGGAGAGGAACAGGCAGACAAAAGGTGACAGCACATCTCATCATGGCATCAGCAGCTCTACAGTTCTTTGCTTTCATTCTAGCCTTGTTTGGCGTTTTCGGTGCAATTACAGCCACCTTGTTGCCCAACTGGAAGGTGAACGCAGACGTAGGTTCAAACATCATCACAGCCATAACTCAGATGCAAGGACTCTGGATGGACTGCACATGGTACAGCACCGGGATGTTTAGCTGCACGTTGAAATATTCAATCCTCTCCCTCCCTGTTTACATCCAGGCAGCACGGACCACGATGGTGTTGTCTTGCATCCTCTCCACTTTTGGAATCTGCATCGCCACGGTGGGGATGAAGTGCACTCGGCTGGGAGGAGACCATGACACCAAGAGCCACACTACATTTGCAGGAGGAGTCTTCTTCATCCTTGCAGGTATATTCGGCTTGATACCAACAGCCTGGTACACGAGAGAAATCATTTCAAATTTTCTGGACCCAACAGTCCCAGAAAGCAGTAAGAATGAACCAGGAGGAGCAGTTTACATTGGATTCATTTCAGCAGGACTTCTGCTCACTGCAGGTGCCATCTTTGGCACTTCCTGTTTTACAAAGCAGCAAAGAGCATGGATTTATCCCAACAAAACACAGCAACAGTTCCCAACTGCCCAGCAAGAGAACAACACAGGCTACAACCTGAAGGATTATGTGTAAATACAGTTGTCGGTCTGTCACTCAAGGCTCCTGCTCAGTTGGGGGGGGGCGAGTGTTTATTGTAGTCCTGGGTTTTTTAAAATATCGAAGAAAGTTTTTTGTTCTTGATGCAAGTGTCATAATTACACTCTGGTATGGTATGGGGGGGATTTAAATCACTGCAACAACCATTAATTTATGCTGATATTGCTTTGCAACTGAATTGTTTTAGAAAAAACAAACAAAAAGAACGGTAAAAATGCATACTGTACAGGTTGTTGTTTTTTAACATGTGAAAGTTAGATATCTGTAATGTGGCTTACTTAATTTCAACACAACTCTAATTTTAATTAGGATACCCGCCAAACCTACTCTGCCTTTATGTGAAACCCTATGTATTGTTTTTAAAATTGTAGCTTTCGTTGTCAATACCCAACTACCATGGTAACTAAATTTCTTCATTTAAAAACAAACAAAGCCTCGTGTATTTGCATATCAGAGGCTGAAGACACTGCTTCAGTTGTTGCCAAAGTGCCCCCTCATCTCCTGACCACCTGCAGCAGATTCCATTTTTATGTTTTTTTAAAAAATGTCTACTTAGCAGTCTGCAGCTAATTGAAGGGTTAGACACAGCTCAGGACTAAGAAATGGGTGTATCAGCAGCAGCCTCTGTAACTAAAAGAAACTTAAACCCTCCAATTTCATGCTCCACTTTAAAAATATTTTTGTCTTCTCCTTGACTTCTGTATGTTATACCCAAGTCATTGCATGATTTAACTAACCTAATGCATCTGTTCCCAATCTGTTCAGGGCTTCAGTGTGATTTTAACCTGCACATCATTTGGTTTCTTTAAATCCTTTATTTTATGCAAACTATTTACTATTGGATCAGAGTTACTGGCAATCTGCCACACAAAGTTACTGGCAATCTGCCACACAAAGTTACTGGCAATCTGCCACACAAAGGGTTCTTGCAGGTGATAGCAACTCAGTTTGCAATTACTTTGTCAGCATGATTCACTTGGTTAATTTGCCTTGATTCTCATAACCTTCTTTTTAACATGCTGAAATTATTATTAGTCACTGTGGGGAACCCCTCATTTCTATTCAGGAGGCAAGGCAGAGTTTGAATCCTTTGGTATATAAGGGAAGGAATAGAAAAGAGACGTTTGGGCCATAACTTGGGACACGTGTAAATTTGCATACACACAGATATTCTAGTGCAAATAGAATGAGTTTATATTTCACTAAAGAATATGGCTTGGTCTCTTGTAAAAGATGAGTAAGATTATTAGTTCCATATTAGTTTTAATTTTTCTACCCATCTTTCAAATATTAGCTCTGAGTTGGAGATGTAAACAGCTCTTCATAGAAAAGGTACAGGAAAAGGGCACTAAAATGAAAAGGGAGCTGAAGTAACTCCCATACTAAGAAATGATGCAACATTTGGGTCTTCTTAATTTACAAAAAAGGTGAGTAAGAGGGGACATGCTAGAGGTGTATAAAATAATATCTGGTGTGAAGAGAGATGTTTTCTTGCTCTTTCATACTACTAGCTACTAGCCAGGTTCATTGAAGAAGGCTGAATGGTGAGAGATTCACACCCTGCATAGTTAAACTGTGGAATTCACCATCACAAGATGTGGTGATGGCAACAAAGTTAGACTGCTTTAAAAGGTGATTAGACAAATTCACAGAAGATAATGCTATTAATGACTACTAGCAATGATGGCTATAGGCCACCTTCAGGATCAGAGGCAGCATACCTCAGTTGTTTGCAAACAATAGGGAAAGGTCTATTGCCCTAGTGTCCTTTTTGTGAACTTTACAGGGAAGTCTGGCTGGCCACGTGTGAGAAACAGAATGTTGGACTAGATAGGCCTTTGGTCTGATTCAGCAGGGCTCTTAATCAAATGTGAAACGTGTTTTCAAAATCAAGAAACTTGTTTCATTACCCACTATAGATTGATGGACAGACAGACCAAGAATGTACCAAAGTTATTTGGTGATTGCAGTGGTTCAATCTTAGGTCTGTAAATAATAAGGTGTCTACCCCCCCCCCCACTGCCAACAACTCTTTTAGGATGAATAAATACTGTCTTATTTTTATTGCAAATACCTGTGATACCTAAACAAGCTCAGGTGTGTTTTGGGGCTTTTTACAGTCCAATGTATATGTTTTTTCTTAAATAAAGAAAAGATATGCCAAAACTTAAACTAGGAGAAAGAAGATTCACAGAAATATTAATGTTGCTACTTGGTCATTAAGATAAAGATCAAGATCATGGTATGAAAGGAAAACGAAATACAGAATCCTCCACATGTATGACACCCACAGAGTAAGACATATAATCCAGACCACATTGCTCCCCCAACAGGGAGATCCAGGAGCAAACATAGACCCCAGAAGAGAATACAAGCTCTTCTGAGCTACACTGAGCTACAAGCTTGAACGTAATAGTTATCCAAAGCAGTCTCAATTATTTCAGTGGGTTTAATTCTTAAACAAACAGTGGTGGTTTACCAGTGTAAGCAGTAAGGCCATCATTTTCTCCAATGCATATTCGTAGCTCTCTTTAGAATATATCAGAGATCAAGAAAGTATTTGGGGGTTGGGCTGGGGGGGGGTTTCCAGCAAACATATAAAACATGATAGGAAACAGCCTGGCACTCTGAACTGCTTCTGTAAACTTTGTGTATTAAGCATCCTATCTGTAGAATTATTTAAAAGTTTGCAAAACTGAAACATATTGTCTGAACTTAAGGACTGAAAGGCAAGCTTGGAAGGTTCCATTAGCACAAATAACACAATATTAGAGCGCTACAGGGTCATTCCAGCTAAACGCTTAACAGGCTCAGCTTTTTAAAAAAGAAGTGAAAATACTCTGACAGAGTCTACAAAGACACAGTGCTGAAAAATGACACCAAGCAATTGCTGCCAACAAAACCATGTCAGAGCAAACGAAATGCCACATACAGAGAGACAGAGAAGGGGAATAGTCATTAACAGTGAGCACCATCCCTAAAGGCATATATACTTGCTGCAACATTCACATAGAAAGACACATCCAGTACAAAGGAGGGGGGGATAGAGCACCATCAGGAAAAGAGCAGATGGCACCACATACTAATGCAAATGAAATTAAGATACACAACTCTCCATTGGTGATCTCAAAACACACCACCATGGTGATCTCAAAAGACAAAACAGATCTGCAAGACAAACAAGTACCCTGTTGCTGGCACAAATGAACATTAGCATGACACAACAACAGCACATGGCTCAATAGGCCAAGAGAAAAAAGCACAGACTAGCTCAGTCTCTGTTCTTCTCTCCTACAGATGAAAGGCCCATCTCCACTATGCAAGAAACAGGAATTATCACAAAGGAACGTGGGTGGCGCTGTGGTCTAAACCACAGAGCCTAGGGCTTGCCAATCAGAAGGTTGGCGGTTTGAATCACCGCGACGGGGTGAGCTCCTGTTGCTCGGTCCCTGCTCCTGCCAACCTAACAATTCAAAAGCACGTCAAAGTGCAATTAGATAAATAGGTACCGCTCCGGCGGGAAGGTAAACGACGTTTCCGTGCGCTGCTCTGGTTTGCCAGAAGCAGCTTAGTCATGCTAGCCACATGACCTGGAAGCTGTACGCCGGCTCCCTCGGCCAGTAAAGCGAGATGAATGCTGCAATCCCAGAGTCGTCTGCAACTGGACCTAACCGTCAGGGGTCCCTTTACCTTTAGGAATTATCACACCTGAAATCCAGAATGTCTTACACAGAAAACATTCTACTATTTCCCACCAAATTCTGAGAATCCCCAAGAGTACTGTTCAGTGTTTATAGAGGGGTATTTCCAGATGCACAGAGAATGGGGGAAAGGCAACACTGTACAGAAAACCTCGCAACCTACATGGGGGTTACATTTCAGGGATAGCACCTAAAGCCAAAATCAAAAACAGTCAAACCTCATTGGGTTCAATGGCAGGTGGGCTTGCCAAAGCTTTTTTTCCTGGAACTATGTCCCCTTTCCATTTTTTTTTAACTGCCACACACTTAAATCTGAATGTGCGTAAGTTAAATACATTTAAGTTGCAGGTTTGCTGTTACTGCATTTAGAAATAAAATAATTTTCATGCATTAAGCTTCTTACAGTACTTGAATGACTTCTGATTGTTTCAACCTGACAATGTAGATCAGTCTTGGGCTACTACATGACCACTACCGCTAGGAAATTTACCTTGCTTCTGTATCTCTTTAGTACAATAACTACAACCCATCATCTCATTACTAAAAGCACGAATGATTCATTTAGTGTCCATACCAACCTTGTTGAGTGAATTTATGAAACGTGTTTGACACATTTGTATCCTAGTTTCCTTCCAAGGAGTTGAGAACAGCATACAGTGGTACCTCGCAAGACGAAAAACTCGCAAGACGAAAGGGTTTTTGGTTTTTTGAGTTGCTTCGCAAGACGAATTTCCCTATGGGCTTGCTTCGCAAGACGAAAACGTCTTGCAAGTTTGTTTCCTTTTTCTTAAAACCGTTAATACCCAGGGTGCATTGCTTCGCAAGACGAAAAATTCGCAAGACGAAAAAACTCGCAGAACGAATTAATTTCGTCTTGCGAGGCACCACTGTACATACAATTTATCAGATGAGGGCCAATAAACTGAGACTGAATCCCAATTAAAACATGAGGTTTTGTGGCTTGGTTGTTTCCAGATCCAAGAATTAAGCAGGTGAATTGATTAATATCCCAGATTAATCTCCCAATTAATACTCAATTGACTCTGCACTACTGAGAAAATTTCTGCTTATCATTTTAAGTCACCTCCAAATCAGCTTCAACCAAGTTTGATTGGCTCCACTGCTGTTAGTGTTCAGGAGCTTTTCAAAGCAGCATCTGACAACTGGGCTTGTAGCAACTGAGTTGAAAATGACCACATCAATTTACAGTGGTACCTCTGGATACGAACAGGATCCGTACTGGAGCCCTGTTCGCATCCTGAAGCGACATCTGCGCGTGTCGCGATTCACTGCTTCCACACATGACGCTATTTTGAGCGTCTGTGCATGCACGAGCAGCGAAACCCAGAAGTAATGGCCGCGGAGCGTAACCTGAAAACGCTCAACCTGAAGCACATTTAACCCGAGGTATGACTGTATATTCATAGCAGTGCTATAGGTTCATTCATCCTCTGCTAGTGCCAAGCTTAATCTTCAAGTCTGCATTCCTAGTCTGGTATTTGTCACCTCCCTAAACCTTTACTTAGATCCCATGTTGACTGTAACTGGCTACTAATCCATGGGCAAAAGCAGCTTTTCAGATTACATTCTTTCTCTGGGCATCTGTTGGTCAATCCTCAAAGTGCCAGTTAGCTGTAAATCTTTAAATTCGTGGTACTGTCACTGATCAACACTAATGCCTATAGTTTCAGGAATTCTGTGCAATTCATTTTGCTTTGGGGGATTTTCCTCACATAGCGGGAATCACTTTATAAAGGCAGGCTGCATTAAAATTGCAACACCATTTGAAAAGAGGTACCATTTGCAAGGCCATGGTTCAAAATGGTCAGTTTGAAGAATTACTCAAAAAGAAGTTGGTGATACAATTACTCAGTCTTTTTGAATTTCAAAATATCACAAACAAATCATACTAGCAATCCAATTCTGATACGCATTCTTCAGCAACAATATTACTGTAATGTGCTGGCTGATCTATTGACCCATCTCTTGCTTTTGGCTATGAGACTGGTACAAGAAAACTCCTAAAGCTATGATAAAAACCAGACACACGTGATTTGCCTGATGAATTCCTGTCCTTCTCAAGAGCAGGGGGCACGCAACTCTAGGCAATATTTGCCTCAGGTGGATATAGTCAATGAGCAATTCCCTTTTCAGGATCTTTGGATCTAAATCTATAGTTGTGTGTGATTTTAGCACTCATTCAGTCCAATTTCTCAGAATCAGACAGCACATTCAGCTTGCATTTATGTGCTGGTGGCTTTGCCATTTTAAGTTTGAAGCTTTAATTTCTAATTCTTAGTACTAAAGAAAGAAGAGACTCACCTCTGGCTTTGGAACAAAAGCTCGACCTGGAATTGTGAAACACTTGTGAACAGTGCACAAGTACTGAGACATAATGGAAAGTCTGCTTCGCTGCCTGGCTCCTGTACTAGCTGTCAATCTCTGTGAAAGAAAACCACTTTTTGGTGAGTAAATTCATTCCAGCTAATTAAGCATTAACTTCTAGAAATTTAACAGGTGATATTTAACTCGCAAAAAACAGAAGAGACTTTCAGAGCATTCTCTTAATCAGAAAAACGATCAAAAAGCTTCTGAAGATGTCCATTAATGTCTAAAAAGGGCATGCATTTTATTTATTTATGTACCGCTCTTCACACAAGCCACAGGCATATAGATAGGCATACGATAGGCATATAGATTTTTAAAACCAATAATCCTTAAAAACACGTAACAAAGCAAAGGGCCCAAGCTGGGCTGGAAAGGACAATCCCAGCCACAAGGGGCTTGCAGTCCATGCTAATCAATGCCAAGAACAAACCCTTTTTTTCAAGAGGGATCAGCACAGCTCAGGAACACAACTGGAACCAATCCCAATAGGGCTTCCACTTAGCATCAAAGTTAGGCCTACTGGACCAATTTTGACCAATGGCCCAGATATCCCCATATCTACGATGCAAGTAGTGAACATAACTCCACTATGGGTCTCTTATACAGTCATACCTTGAGTTTAATGTGCTTTAGAATTAGCGCGTTCGAGTTGCGCTCCACAGCAACCCAGAAGTAACAAAGCGCATTACTTCCTGGTTTTGCCGCTTGCGCAGACGCTCAAAATGACGTCGGCGCATGCGCAGAAGCACCGAAACGTGACCCACACACGCGCGGACACGGGTTACGTTTGCTTCTAGATGTGAACGGGGCTCCGGAACGGATCCTGTTCGCATCTAGAGGTACCACTGTACAAACAAAAAAGGTCCCTTTGTTCGCTAAAGAGTTTTTCATCTAGCAAAGGTATCAGATAATGAAAGATGAAATAAGTTTTCACCAATTCCCCCTTTGCCCTAAAGCTCCCAGCACCATTATCCACAATGTACTGAAGGGTTTCCCAACCCACCAGATCAGATCTTTGGGAGACAAAATGGCAAAAATCACCTCTTCTGTTAATGGAGGTATCTGTTTGGGTCAAAAGCCCTTCTGCAAATGGATCTGCATAATTGCATTCAACTTGTTATTCCTGGGACTGGACACTTGGAGCTTATTACTGCAGTGTAATGTTATCTGCACTGGCATATCTGAGCTCAGTTCAAGATACTGGTTCTTGAAATAATGCCTTCTGATCTGGGTATTTGGATGACTCCTCTATATACGCCTCATGTATTCCATTTAACACATGAAGACTGTAGTTTGGTGTATGTCTATCAGAAATAAGCTCTTTCCAACAGGCAAGCTCTCCCCAGTAATTTCAGGCATCAGGCTTTTTCATAAGTCTTTAGGGACTGGCTGAAGTTGTCTTTAGGGACTTATTTCTATGGTTGCATTTACAAAAAAAGAACA